ATACCACCCTGACTGGAGCCGTTGTAGGGCCTGAGTTGAACCCCTGTAGAAACGTACAGTAGCTTATTCTAATATTGACCCCCCACCCGAAGTTGATTCCCCTGATTCCTAATGCACTAATGGCGTATTTATCACCTGGTAGATCTTTCCATATGATGGGAATACCATACATGGTTCTCCTGCCATTAATAAACCAAAAGCAAGTAACACTAAATAATATACCAGCAGTCTGTTATTTAATAATCTAACGTATACACCTTGCTTAATTCGAAAGCCATTTAATTGGTTTACTAAATAATGCATAGCATATTGTACCCTGTGTATTCATAACACATGTTTGTTTCGTTTGAATAATGAATGACAGGAGTCAGCATAAATTAATCGGTTTGCTTTATTTTCAAACAAGCACCAGCAGTCAGGTTCGAAAACCTGTAATAAACAAAACATTTCAAAGAAATGCAAAAAATAAGCTAAACATGCATATTCAGGACACTAAACACCGACGATGGCGGCGTCATCTAACTCCAGCTACATGTTATACTCTCGCGATCTCAATCAATGTATTTTACTATAGCATAACAAAATCAATAAATGACAATTCACTCTTCTGTAGTTATTATCTGATTAATCGGTACCACATAAGGTGTCACTAGAAAAGCCATCAATCACATATGTGAGCTGGAAACTTATATCGTAAACATGAGCATGGAGGTATAAAATACCTCCATGACATGAGCTAGTATTTATAGACCGTGGGTTGAGGCTCCAAAATCGGCTTAGTTTACGAATTCTGTGACCCACCGATCCGCGCTGCTTGGCATTCGCACAAAAATGTCAATACTATTTTATTGAAACATAATATAATTGTCGGCAATCGTAAATTTGGGGAAACTGTAACCAAAAATGAGAATTTATCTTAGAAAAAATAATGTTGTTCACGAAAGCAGTACCCAATCACAGCACACTTACCATACCTGTTAAGCATTGATGAGACGCTATTAGCCAATCACAAACGTTCTTGTAAACTCGGTAACTAATGTAAACAAAGCAATGTGGCGAGGAAAGTGACAATGTGTAGAAATTTGGACGAAAGTTCTCCGGTTTTAGTGGAATATTTCAATATGATATAAATATACCAGCCTTTAAATAAAATACATTGGTAATAGTTGTAAGATTTTAGAGGTAGTAAATTGCATTTCCCGTCTTCTTTCGACTGTCATACCGTAGTTGTTTAAGCCAAAGTCGACCGTGCTGTATACTGAATGTGTATTGTATTACTTATCTATGCCTACATATGCATGGTAGGAAGGGCAAGAAGTAATGTTCATCGACTTTGAATGAGACAGGAAATGCCTGTAAATATATAATATATTGTGATTCTATTTGTAATCGCTTTTTTCCCCTATAATTAAAACAATGTACATTTTAAAAGAAAACTGAGGCTGAATTACTTAAAATTTCAAATGTTTTTATTTGCATGCAATGTAAATAAATAACATTAATCAGTATTTCTTGCCATGCCTCTGTTGATTTTTGTTTAACTGCTTGAAGACCTTGGTAATATGGACTGAATTAATGAATACAACTAAAGCAATTGATGATTCCAATAAGGTGAAACAAATAAATTTTTAATATACCTCAGTTCAGCCAGTTCCCATCAGCACTTTCATTATCTCTCTGATCACTCACTGGGTATATACATTTAACTACACAACAGTAAACACAAGGTTGAAAGAAGTTTATGACAAAATTCTGAACTTTTATATGAATATTATTGAAACACTGTAGCACATCATATACCTACACAGAACTGCTTTAAACATAGCTGAATATAGAGATCAATCCAATTCACTTATAAACATGTGTTAAATATTACAATTATATAATATTATCAATGTAACCAACCAGCATAAACAATTTAAAAGAAACTAAAAATAATGAAAGTTTTGCTGTATTCATTATCATTTATCAGCAAGTCCTGTTCTGTTATTTTCTTTTCATATTGCATTGTAAAGTACAATACAATGCAATTCAAAAAGTCAATGCAAATTTTTATAAAGAAAATAAATGTGTTGTTGATAAATGTTCATACAAGGAAAAACCTTAAATAATATCTGGTAATATTTCTCAACACAGTGTATGGTATGATGTCATATCAAATAGATAACAACATTCATACAAACAGTAGACAGTTCCAATCTGATAGGACTACAGTACTTTCAATTGATTCATGT